ACCAATCTAAGTAAGACAACCATTGCGAACATGAGAGAAATGGATGGCTTTTTAATCCTAGCATGAGGATATTCAGCAATTCGGATATATGATAGCTGAAACGGGATTCAAACACAGGGCTTTCGGCTTAGCGCGAACCCCTATCTTCCGTATCGCTAAGTAGACATCCAGTAATATACAAGCTTAACTTCGACCGCTCCGAGATATTAGGTGATTATCTTCCATTTTTTAAATCGGCATCTTCCTCAAACCCGACACGGTTGAACTCCACTGGTCACAGCTTCTTAATAAAGTTCTGAGAATTTCCTCTCATAGCTATGCACTAGTGATGGCACGAGAAGTCACATACTTAGACGAAACAGTAGTCCATTGCTTCCAATGATCATCTAATTTAGAACAGTTCTTGATCTTAATCAAATTCAACTGTCTCCATGACTTCATACTAACCTATGAAGAAGTTGAAGGCACTATAGTGTTGAAGAACGACTATTCAGCAGTGGATAAATGTTTGAGAACAACACATATAGGCGAACAATACTATTTTCAGTAAGATTATGGACCAGCAGTATTAGGAATTAGTCAGTTACCTACCGATGGTAGTGGATTTTTGTCAAGCTACATCACGCAGTGTTCATCAGTGAATCCCAATATGAAGTAATAGCTAATCACTCACACAGAAATATAAAGATCATGGGTTCTACGCACTATGAAGCCATTGAAGGATCACCTACTAGGACTAAATAATTGTCCTTTGTTACATATTTTTTAATGAGGTGAATTTGTAATAAATATCACCTGTAAAGATGCGATAGCATTGTTTTTTCACACCGGATGGCATTTTTTTGGTGATAAGTGAATAAATTTACTAAGATGTCTTGTTAAAACTCCATGTATTTTGAAGGTATTTTTAATCTGGAATTAATATCAACAGTGCACAAACCCAGTAGGGATTACCTAAGTGGTATTTAATTAAATGTTTTGATGACAGGTCATAGACCGCCTATAAAGTTGGAGTGAAGTCATTGACTTATTATCCAACCAGTCCATATGTAAAAGATGAGTCGTTTATATGTGTTAGGTGACATTTCTTTACTAATAATATACCGATTATAGTAGCGATAATAAGTTTTTTGGTTAAAGGAGTTCTGTGGAGATTGGCTTGTCTTGTAGCTTATATTCGTCAGAAGTTGGCTTCAGATGACGTACCTGTTATGATGGGGGACGAATGCTGATACATGACGGGCTATGCGCTACCCCCCAACTGACTACTTGAGTGCGAGAGTGTATTGTAATACCGAATAAAGTTCCTCTCTCTCTCTTTCTCTCTCTCTCTCTTTATATATATATATATATATAACTCTACCCCTTTGAAAAACAATCCAATTCATAGGCAATGATATGCAGCTGTTCTTCACGTTACTTCTGATTGCCATTGACTGACCTCATTCGGTTAACCAGATCAGTACTATTTATAACCAGTGGGGAGTTGTTTTGTCCTAGTTTGGGGCTTCTTATCAATGCACATGCATGATAACCTCTGAAACGTCTTATACTATAACGAGACAGATATATAATGATTTCTGGTCTTCAGATCTACTCTCAACATGTGATTAATATAAGCTATAGACAATAGCCAGCGCTTCATACAATGAGATAAATGTTCCATGATAAGCCAAATAATGACTGCCTATAATCAGTAAATGTAAAATACTGCATGCTCTGTATATCATAATTAGAAAAGGATTATATTTGAAAGTATTTTTAAACAAATATGAATATGGTTACCTTTTTACTCAAAGCAAAAAGTGTAGCTAACTTGAAGATAATTATTATTGTAAATTGATGGTGAGAACTGTATACACAGATCGTCCAACGAGTAGAAACCGATCTAGTACTTGTCCAGAACCCTTGGTGCTGATCGTGTTTCATTGACCAAGTTACATTGCGATTACGAGTATTAAGAACTCAGTATTTTAATGGATATTAAGTGAATGGATGCGATCAATATGAATCTTTGAAACGAGGTTTTGCAACAGCTGACACTTTTCAATGAGATGTATCTGTAAATCTTGATATAACTGATACTCTCATCACTCATTAATATTAGTCAACGACGTAATAATTAAGCTTTCTACTTCAATCATGTCTATAGGACGGATGTATTTGAACGATTTAATTATTGAATAGTCATTACTATTGTATTTATGTCGATTTCTCAGTATTCGTAGGATTGTATCGATCAAGTTGTAATATATCTCCATCAAGTGTGCTATACTTCTTTTCAGTTTTAAACACTCCAATAACTTTTGTTTAAACTAGAGTGTGAAAGACAAGTAGTCGACTTCTCTCTGGTTTTTAATTATTCTTCAGCGATTGTCAGTTTGGAGAAATTATTGTTGAAAAAAAGTGAACAATTAACACTTTTATATTCAACATTTTTTCTTCAAAACACATCGCTAAATCTTTAGAAACTATATATGGGAAAATACTTAGATTACTGTTGTGTACTCTACTTGATTACCGTAAAATACAATATACGATTAGTGGCACTCGAACGTCTAGGACCCCATAATCGCAAATCAGAAGAAAAAAGTATGTGAAGTGATTATTGTGTAAGAATGAAGGAAATGTACAGAAAAACATAGGTATTTATAGTTAGTTGAGTTGATTATAATTCAGCCAATCGGCAAGGAGGCAAGTCATACTATTGACCAATCGTAGCATGCCACGTTGATATTCTAGAAAGTTCTATCAGGCTTTGACTAGATTGAGTGTCTCCGGCTCCCTTAAAGCTTCTAGAGACTTTGTTGTGCTTCTCAAACCCATCCTAACAGTTCCTGAAATAGAAAATAGATTTTTATTTTTAGTTAACTATCTTAATCTATCAATCGAATCACACTTGACGGGGAAGATTTAGAAGATGTAAAGACCTCTACATATATGGGCAGCATCATTGATGAACACAGTGAATCTGATGTGGATGTGAAGGCACGGATCGGCAAAGCAAGAGAATCATATTCACAACCGAAGAACATCTGGAACTCAAAACAACTGTCAACCAACACGAAACTCAGAACTTTCAATACAAATGTCAAGACAGTTCTACTGTATGCGGTGGAAACCTGGAGAACTACGAAAAACACCATCCAGAAGATGCAAGTGTTTATTAACATCTGTATACGCAAAATACTTCGAATCTGTTGGCCAGACACTATCAGCAACAACCTACTATGGGAGAGAACAAACCAGATCCTAACATCAGAAGAAATCAGGAAGAAGTGCTGGGAGATGATAGGACACATATTGAGTAAAGCACCCAACTGCATCACAAGGCAAGTCCTTACATGGAATTCTGAAGGCAAAAGAAGAAGAGGAAGACTAAAGAACACATTACGTCGATAAATGGAGACAGACACGAGAAGAATGAACAGAGATGGTATAGAACCGGAAAGGAAGGCCCAAGACAGAGTGACTTGAAGAATTTCGGTTGGCAACCTATGCTCGTTTAGGGCTAACAGGCGTAAGTATGTAAGTAAGTAAATAATCTTAATCGATCTTAATGTATATCTGCACAAAAATAAACTCATGATAAACTAAATACCATATATATATATATATATATATATATATATTTAATATTAAATTTATCCTTTATAAATACATTTAGTAAATTAATCATTCAACCAATCCAACCAATTCATTAGCCAATCACCAATCAACATTTGAGTACAAAGTAACAACAACAGCAACAACAAAAAAGGAAATAGAATATATATATATAAAGAAGAATTAGAAATAATACCGATTGGTGTAATCAGTTGATATTTCTTTTAATTAAATTACGTCCTTTTTCTAAAGAAAAGAAAATCTTAAAAAAAAGAAAAAAAGAAAAGAAAAAAGAAAAAAAAGAGAAGTTTCTCTTCATACTGAGCTATTCAACTAAATTATATTTTCATTTATATTACTCTGTGTATAACAATGATCATAATGATATTGATTAAGAATTTATTCCTATTTCAAAATGGATCATTTTTAATGGATGGTAACTCATTTCTATCATACTACTTATAATGATGTTATCATTCTAATATCTATGTAATATATATTAAGGAGATATGTTCTTATATCATTATAAATTATTCTTTAGTATATTATATATTCTATTATATAATTATGAATTGATCTATATTATATCAGTAAATAATCCTATTGTAATAACATTTGTTATTGAAGAGAATCTCCCGATTGGTTCTGAAGTTGGACGAATCAACCTGGAACCAGATCATCATCATCATAATAATAATAAGACAAATGATTACATAACATTTACATTACAAGATACAACATATTTTAATTTTGATAAAATTATATTTAATAAATTAATTGTATGTAAATTATTAGATAGAGATATTGATAGAAAATTATGTAGTGAAAGTGGTTGGCCAGAAATATGTGCATGGTCTAGTGTTATCTTTGTTAATGATGGTAGATTATTAAGTTTACGTATTGTGATACGTGATATTAATGATAATATACCGAAATGGTTAACTAAAAATAATATTGATCAACCATTATTAGAAATATGGATTATAGAAAATTCATTAATTGGTACTATTATTGATTTACCATTAGCATATGATCCAGATATTGGTGAAAATTCTATTATAAAATATGAATTAGCTAATTCAGATCATCATGATCATCATCATAATAATAATAATACATTATCATTATTTCAAATTGTGAATTCACCTAGTCCAAATGGACCAATATTTCAAATGATTATCAATGGTATATTGGATCGTGAATTATTATCCACTTATGAATTGACTGTAGCTGCTGTTGACGGTGGAGGAAATCGTGGTTATGCTAAATTAATTATACATGTTGCTGATGAAAATGATAATTCACCAATTTTTCAACATTGTAATCATAAAACTAATAATAATAGTAATGGTTATATAAATAAAACAGAATTAATTATTGGACAATCATGTGAAATGATTGTGAATATCGATGAAGATATCCCAATTGGTAGTACATTACCAATACATCTCATAGCAAATGATATAGATGAAGGAGAATTTGGTCATGTAACTTATCGATTTGCTTTATCCGCTCCAGATGTAGCAAGAAGAGATTTTAAAATTGATCGTGAAACTGGTACAATTCTCGTTCGATCACCATTAGATTATGATACTGGTGGATTAACACAATATCTATTTAATATAGTTGCTGAAGATGGTGGTCTACCACCATTAACAGCAACAACACGTATTATTATTAATATACAAGATAAAAATGATAATTCACCACAAATTACAATTACACCAGCATTTTTACAAGAAGATAATTATAAATCATTCATATATCAACAAAATACAACTAAATTTACAAATATGGATATGATGAAATCAACATTGTATCTCATGGAAAATAAGTTACCTGGAGCATTGATTGCAACGATTACAGTTTCTGATCAAGATTCTAATGAAAATGGTCAATTCACATGTCAATTAGATCATACAGATGAATTAAATTTAATTTATTTAAGAAATTTAGGTAAAATTAGTGTATATCAATTATGTTCATTACGTTCAATTGATCGTGAAATACAACCAGAATTACGTGTTACATTAAAATGTGAAGATAATGGTATTCATAATAAACAAAAAACAATTGAATTATTAACTATACATATATTGGATATAAATGATAATTCACCAATGTATACAAATAAACGTTATAGTTATCAAGTAAGTAATAATCACCTTATGATGTAACATTTGTTCTTATATCAATTATTATAATATAGATATAGCTTCAACTGACTCATGATCTTAACCATTGAAATTACTATAACATCCACAAAAACCCATCTATGATATTAATCAACACATGCTCACTTGTGACTGGCTTCAAGAGGTATATCCTGGAGTCCGAGTGAGAAATAGTGACCAGTGGAGTTCAACCAGGTCTATTGAGAGATAGTAACTCACTGAAGACAATGGTGAATGTGTCGCTGAATTTCGTGGGTTGGTTGAAGTTAGACATTAACACCGTTGGATACCGGCCGGCTCAGTGGTTTAATTGTTAAGCGCTCGCGCGCGAGAATGATAGGTTCGGGGTTAGAATCTCGAGAGACGGGATTGTGGATGCGTACTACTGAGGAGTCCCACAATAGGATGAAACGGCCGTCCAGTGTTCCAGGTTTTTCATGGTGGTCTAACTTCAACTGACTCATGATCTTGACCATTGAAATTATTATAATATAGATAATGTATTAAATATATAAGTTATGAATAGAGTAGTTTAGATTCTATCGTTGAATTTCAACCAGTTTCTATTAGCATATGTTCATTCGATAAGGATTGCCTGGATTTCAAATTTTACAGAATAAATGAATTGTAATCAGAAATGAAACTCATAACTTGTGTTTTATTTTATTTAGATTTAGCTAATTAGGCTTGCTAGCATCATAACGTTGATTCTGACTCTGAGATTCGAACCTAGTACTTGAGTTCAGATGGCCAACAATTTGTTCAACAGGAATGATGTTCATATGATTGCTAGAAATGGTTCAGATTTTTTGGCTGAACAAGTTATTGACTGTCTGGACTAGTAAGCTTATTTATTGACTTATTGGTATTTGAAACTATAAGTACCAAGTAAAAATTTAGTGTGGACATCAAGACTATAACGTATTGGGTATATCCAGCTAATGTGTCCTAGACAGAACGAAATCCTTATCCTGGATTCGACTACTAGTTACAATCCATTTATTCTATAAAAAAGTTGGAGAGCATTTTTTTTCTATTCTTCTTCTTCTTCTTCAGAATAGTCCTTGGTTATATACAACACGCCACTGACCCTCGACTTATTAAAATATCTACATACGTTCATAGAGAATTGAAGTTTATTAAATGAGTACGCCGTAAATTGTTTGGCATTATCACAACTATTCTACTATTTTCTTCCACGACTGTTATCATTTGCTTGTTTACAAATATCCTTTATTGTACCACGAAGTATTTCTATTCATTTTCATTTTAGACTAGAGAGGGACAATCAATTATTTATAGTACTAGTTATATTAAATAACACAGTAGACAATATAGGAGGATCTATGGTAACATTATAACTGATTTGTCGAGTTCATTTTCTTACAGTTGGTTACCTTAATACATAGTTTATTCAATAGATACAAGAAATGAGGTCATTATTTTATAAAGTTCTACAATCCATTGATTTCATCTGCTCCTTATTAGAGTTCTCTATCTTTATATGAATGTAATTGTTTTACTACTGTTTTTATTGGAAGGGTATAGAAACAGGATTCTTCATCCTCCTCTTCATTTGATGATATTTATAACTATTAGATGTTTTAACTAGATTCATGTCCATATTCGTTATTTCCAAATTTACTTTATTAACAATGATCCAAATAGTGAATTGAAAATTTCATGAAATCATTTCATGTTTACATCGTCTGTATTGTCTTCACAAATTCTCATGGAAACTAGACTATCCATTGAAAGAGCCTTCAATCATTTATGAATTCTCGCTGCATAACTAAAAGACGATCAGTGTTGAAAAAGTAATTTACATTATGAATGGAATAGCTGTATATTATCTTAGTTAGAAGCCTTTTCAATATTGTTCATACAAGATTTTGAAGTCTTACAAAAAGTGTAATGTTTTTCTTTTAATACATTTCTAACATGACCAATATTAGTAATTCATTTAACTAATTCATTCTGGATATGATTAACTCTGTAAGTAAGAGTTTTTATACTAAAATGCTGTGAAATTTCTTTAAAAGCTGATCATAGGTTAACTCATATTCCTTCTTATAATCAGCATTCCTAAACTGGATGAATCTAGTCAACAACTTAGATTGATAGAGTTTCATTCTTTTAGCCAGATGATTTAGTTGTGAATCAGAATGAATGATGAAACACCTTCAAAATCATCTACATTAGCTAGAAATCTTTCTTACCATTTCGTTACCATTTAACAACTCAATGACATAATACATATCGAATGTAAAAAAACAAACATTTTATATCGTGTTTCATGAGATAAGTAACGGATTTCAGTGGCTTATATCCATTGGAATTCTAATGTAACTTAATATATATAGTCTGTTGGTTTACAATGTAGTTAATTAATGATCAATTCACTTCTGATATATAGATATATATGTAAAACAATTTGTTTTTCGATGAAAACAAAAGATAAGATTTAAAGAGGTAGAATGTATTTGTAAAATCTCAGTGAATGAAGTTGAAGTAAATCTAACGTTTCGCCTGGCAATCTAGTCCAAGCTTCTTCAAAGAAGGCGAAAAGTTGGACTTCAAATTTATTCACTGAAATTTTACGAATACGTTTTTCCAATTTAATGTTTTAAATCAACTCGGTGCTCACATACTGTGAAACTATTCGATCAAGTTTAAACGAAAGTTCTTATTTATTAAAAGATGAAATTATTTTATTAACACTAGATGTATCGCTCAATTTCGTGGATTGGTTGAAGTTAGACATTAGATGCCGACCGGCTCTGTGGTGTAGTGGTTAAGTGCTCGCGCGCGAGATTGATAAATCCTCGGTTTGAATTTCGCGATGTGGGAGGAGTCTCACAATAGGCCGTCCAGTGCTTCCAGGTTTTCCATGGTGGTCTAACTTCAATTGACTTATGGTCTCAACTATTGAAATTAATAATTTTATGTATATTATCTTTTTTAGTAAGGTCATGAATCAGCCTATCGTTAAGACTTACGCATGGATTTTGTTAATCTTTGTTAACGTTTGTGCTTTCTGTGTGAATTGTGTCAATCTGGCCATTTTATCTTCGTTTTTTATAGAATCGATGTTTTTAGGCTAGTAGCAACACATATTCCATATTATTTGAAACCCATCATTTGGATGTCGTTGCACTCTAGTATTGATATTCACAATGAAACTTTAATCTATTAATTTCGCCTTGTATTTCATTACGCTATTCACTAATAATAGGGATACAATCGATAAAGCCACTGAGTTATTCAATGGACGTCTTAACTCAATATCTTATTACGTAATGCGTTCCATTTTTATGCTACAATTACTGAATTTGAGTTTCAGTTTAAACAACAACAATGAGATATAACAGGTTTATCAAGCTGAAGAGTTCTAGACAAGAGAAAACACGCTTCCTGAATTCGACTGCTAGCTACAATATGCTAAATTTTTTACAACTCCCAGTATATCTAGAAGAGTTTTAAGACCGAAGTGATTAACGAGATCATAATTAATTAAATTTACATTGATTTAAAATTTAAAAAATCTATGGATAAATACTTAATTAAAAACGTAGTTTAAATTCAGAAGTGATATAAGAATACAATAAAACTGCATTCAATCAAAGCAAAGATAGGTAGTAGTTAGCAATAGAATCCAGGACGTGCGTTTTGTCCTATTTCAGACTCGTTAGTTAGACATACCTTCATGTACCTGCTTGTAAAGCTTACGAATTAGGGCAGTCCGCACAGGATGCACATATGCGAACAAGAGACTGATTAATTGTATTCCTAAATAACAATGAGAAGATACAAGTAAAATGACACCAAGTGAATTAAAATTTCACCCCATTTCACAAGCAGGTGGCTGTCAGGATTCACTAAGTAAATAGACAATGTGATGGCGTTTGAAGTGAACGGTACTGGGTTTGAGTCTTAGAGTGAACATCAACTCTGCGATGCAGGTATATCTAACTGACGAGTCCAAAATAGGACTAATCGTGCGTCCTGAATTCTACTGCTAGCCACTATCCATCTTTGCTTATAATCCTTTTGAATTAAATCAATATCGAGACCATTCGCACAGTACGCACATATGCCAATAAGAGACTGATCAATTTTAGTCCTAGAAATCAATGAGAATATTCAAGTAAACAATACCAAATACTTTCAGTATAGTTCGTATTTGGGTAAAAGTGGAATTCATGAGTCACATTCTATACCATTCACTACTGGTTAACTAAATGTATCATATTCATTCTAGTTTTGATATTCATATTGATAGTCAAACTTAATACCTCCCACCAATCTCATAAAATGAATTCCCCTTTTTTTGTTGTTGTTGTTGATAAATATTCATTCAAAAATAAAACAGGCTGATTCATCTAAACAAAAAGATACCGCTTTGGTTTCTCCAACTTTTTCTCCCCTTTTAAAAAAACTTTTTTAACCCGTTTGCAATTTCATGAATAAATTATACTTTATGAATGTTACACAATTGGCTTTAATGAATATTTACACTGTTCTATCTTCAATAAACAAATTTCCCAGGTTTTTTTTAAAAAAAAAGAAGAAAAGAAAACAACAAACAAACATTCTAAAGTGTTTACTAGTCTATCTGTTTTGAGTAGGTGACTATAAACATAATATAATTGATATCAGAAGGGATTTTATGGATATTGTAGTAATTTCAATAGTTGAGATCATGAGTCAAATGAAGGTAGATCATCATGAAAAATTGGGAAGTACTGGAGAAGCAGTGACCAGTGGAGTTCAACCAGATCTGTTGTGAGGTAGTAACTCACTGATGACAATGGTGGATATGTCACTCAATTTCGTGGATTAGTTGAAGTTAGACAATAACACCGTTAAATTCTGGCCGGCTCAGTGGTATCGCGCGTGAGACTGATAGGTCTTGTATTCGAATCCCGCGAGACGGGATCGTGGATGCGCACTACTGAGGAGTCTCAAAGTTGGGC